CAGGAGCAAAGACACGGGATTATGTTGAATATAAGGATGGATTAGAACTACAATTAAAAGTTTACCCAAATCAGGTGAAAGGGGCATCTAAAATGCTATGGTAGGACTTGTACACATCCTTGTTATTCGCTAGACTGTTGTAAACAAATCACCTGACAAACCCAGGAGACCAGTGACACTATTCACACTTGACAGAGGAAGTGTGAGACATGGTGATATAATTTCCCCAAGGCTGCTGCCAGTCGTTACAATAGGCAAGATTTGAACCATACTATAAAATGGTTTTCTGCAACACTGATAATGCTTCTATTTGTATTTGTAAGAGGAATTCTAAAATGAAATGTAATACAGGACAGTTTTTCCCCTTTTACTTAATGTAGACATTTAACAAATTTTCCTTAGTAGTTTATGGTATAATAATTGGTCAATAAAGAAAATAATTACTACATAGCTTAAAAGAAATCTGACACATTAAGACATTATTGCTACTTAAGTAATTCAAAAGCTGGATATGACAGCTAGGGAAAACAACACTAGAGGGATTAGCAAAGTGTCACGATTCCACTGGAAACTAGTGCACACCTATGTCCAGAACAGGAAGACACAGAGGAAATGAAGGAGGCTTCAAAAGGCCTACATATGTTAACTCCACTGCTAAAAGGAGGTAGTGCCTCAAGTGCTTGTTTCTGCTTCCCTGAGAACTTGATCATACCAGAGTGGTTCCTGAGGAGCCATGAGGATTGGTTCTAGTACTTCCCTCAGATTCTAAAATCTCCATGTCCCATATATAAAAACAGCATAGCATTTACATATAACATATACATACCTTCCCCTACAAGTCATTCATAGGCTACTTAAAATATCTACTACAATGTAATACTATAATTATTTATAATCTTTTTGTTTGGTTGGTTTTTTGTTGTTGTTGTTTCTCGAGACAGGGTTTCTCTGTGTGATAGCCCTGGCTATCCTGGATCTCACTCTGTAGACCAGGCTGGTCTTGAACACACAAAGATCCACCTGCCTCTACCTCCCAAGTGCTAGAATTAAAGGCATGCTCTACCACGCTTGGAAATTATTTTTATTCTTAAGGGATTACGACAAGAAGCATATTCATATTCAAACAGTTTTCTCCCTAATATTTTCTAACATGATTACATCTATAGATGCAGAAGCCAGTTATAGAGGATTAAATGTACAACCTGACTCACCCAAAACATTCTGTATCTAACACTTAAGGAACGAGGCCTTCAGTGCTAAATAGCTTTTTTAGTAACACAGTGGCCCTCTCAACATCCATCACCTAGAAGCAGCACTCTGCAGACTTAGCTCTATGACTCTAATCACCTTCACACAGCTGCAATCGCAGAACACACTGTAACACAAGGAGGATTACTTTCATAAGAATTGAAGCAGGCTCATTCATCCATGTTAACAACTTCATATAAACTATGACATACTTATCTGTAATCCAAACAGTATCACTGAAGCAATGGTAGAAAGAACAATGGCTGCTGCTGCGGAGAAGCCTTTCATGATGTTGTCTGTGTACTTGACCACAACAGAGGTGTAGAGTCCTCCAACACTAGCAAGGACTTTTGATAGAGAACAAAATAAAATCTTAACACTGAATAACTAAAACATTCCACAGTGTTGAGACCCTTTCATTCCCAGAAATAACACACTCATTTCCTAGGATAAGGAGAAGAGTTTCTCCAGAAGCAGTCATCTGAGAGGCTGTACTTAAGCTGAGTAGGGCTCCTGTACAACACTTTTCAGATGCATAAGACTCCACTCCACCACTAAATCACACACAGTTATTACTAACACCAGATTCTTTTCATTGTGAGGATGAAATTTCTTTGGAATAGCAAGTCAATAAGAACAAAATTATATATTCTGAACTGGTGTTCATCACTAAATCAGGAATAATTCCAAAATGTTGTAAGTGCCTAGGACAGACATCTAACTTAAGAATTACAATAAAAAGCAAGAACAATCTACTCAGTCCTTTTATTCCTGGATACTTACAGATGACAAACCAGACATAATACGTGTAACCATAGAAAAATCCTTTTTGTTGAATTTCAGCTCCGTCCGACAAGTAGGTACCAACTAGCGTCACAACGATCCCTGACAGATACATTTGAATGTTTCTCACCCAAAGGGAAGTGTCTGAACTCTTTAAAACTTTTTCAAAATAAACTCCTAGAGAAAAAAATGAGCATGGAAATATTAAAGATATTATGTATTAACTAATAATATTCCATTTATAACAAACCCCAAGTACATGATTTGGGGACAGATATTCTTAATATTAGTTAAATACATGTTTATTATGTAGCTTATGGTATGATATATTAAACATCAAATTGCTTTTACAAAGCATATAGATTAATGATTAAGAGGAAACTTCATAAGCTACATTTGACAAAAGGCTGTTAAACAATCAAGAACAGTTTTCCCTTTAGACCACCAAAACTCTCTACTCCTTAATGCCAGTAAAAGGCTGGTTGTGACCATCTGTAAAGCTATACCACTGGAGTGAATTATCCTACTCATTCTCCTTTAATATATGTAGGAATGAATGTGCCTTACTGTGCAAAGTAACTATATAATCACCCAGTTGATGTCTTTTCAATGATATAACCAAAATAAAATTAAATACAACTTCCTGAGGAAAGCTGTTCTTTGAAGCAGGTATACAGACAACATCATATGCCCTATGAACTGCTAATTAGGTATTAAATTTGTGTATGTGTATTTTTCCCAGGACTGGGTGGGCACAAAAAAATGATTTTTTTTCTCAGAGAAAAGGGACTAAAAACCGCTTTTGCCCCTAAAAAGTCAAATACTATTATTTCAAGTTTTAAAGTTAGATGAATGCATGTTGAACAGGGACACTGGAGATTTTATTTAAAGCCATTTTATCAGCTAAAGGCTTGGGAACTATTATTTACCAACTAAAAGGTATAATTAAAAGTAAGATTTTTATATTAATCTTTATTTTTGAGAAACGATCTCACTATGTGGCCCTGGCTAGCCTGTGACACAGTATGTGGACCAGGCTGACCTTGAATCTGCCTGCCTCTGCCTCTGGGGTCCTGCTACCATACCTGGCAAAAACAAGGTTGATTTTGATGAGACTGTTGGAAAGAGGCAGACGATGGCAACAAACATAAAACAGCTGTTAAAATTTCCAGCTTAGACTTTATGTCTGGAAAAAGCATTTAACTATTCAGTGAGCTATTCCTTAAGCACAGGAGAACTATTAAACCCCCTGCTGTTTCCTCAGTTGTAAACCAAGAGGCTGAACTAAATAGGATATTGAATATAAGCATCTAACAGTGCAAAGATGGTACTGAAAATCAAAAGAATTTTTTTTGGTGATTAAAATTTTGTTCCTAATTTGTTGATTCTTAATAATAAAAGTTTACCATGTACTATGGTAGTTAAGTATGTTCCTAAATTTAGCTTTTTCTTATTTATAAGCAATATTTTATTTCTATGTCCTTCTTGTTTTCCTAGTTAAAAAAAAAAGTCACTCTTGAAATAGGTAGAAATGAAGAAATATATAAATATCACTAATATATTCTTTACTAAAAAGCTCTTGCGTTTCATACCAGTTGGAGCTATTTCTGCAAAACATTTCATTCTTACATTAAGATTCATGTATTTCTTATCTTTTCTTAATTCATTAGAGGAATGATTGTCCCTAATATGACTCCATACTTTCCTGTTTTCTTGATGTTTTTAGCTGTTCTTCTTTGATATTATGTTTGCTAAGGTACACTTCACCCACCTCCTCTTTCTATTCCATAGCTCCTAGTCTGTTGAAGCAAAGGAAGAACTTGAGATTATAGGTACAAGACACTCTAAGCTGGTATACTAGTTACCTACAGCAGCAGAGACAAGCTTGAAAATAGTGAAACTTTGGGGAAATGGGAAGTACTTTGTTGTGACCTTCCTTAAGGTTAATTTCCTTCATTGTTGGAGGCTTTCCATTAACTTTTAGTTCTTGACTAAACTAAGATGGTCAAGAATGACCGAAGTATGTTCTTAACTGCAATTCTGAAGTCTGAACTGAGTTCAGTGAAGTCACAGATTTACTGGGGGAAACAGCTGACACAAAACACAGTAAGAAAGAAGTTGAAGCCTTAGTGGAAATAAAATTGTTAGGATAAACCAAGGAAATGAAATCCAGTTTTTATAGTTCAATGTTAAGAACGAAAGAGTTATAACATGATAAAACAGAAATCCAGTTTTTATAGTTCAATGTTAAGAACGAAAGAGTTATAACATGATAAAACAGTGCATTCCCAACGTACCTGCAAATCCAGAGCACAGTACGGCAATAGCTATCGCACCAAAGCCTAAGAATGGGTTCTGCTCTACCTGCAATGGAAGTTGTTAAAAGTTACTTACTCTTAGTAATAACCACAACTGAGTTAACCCAACAGTCCAAACAGATGACTACAAATATATATGATGCCAGGCCTAGTGATACATTCCTTTAATCCCAGCACACAGGAGGCAAAGGCAGGTGGATCTCTAGGAGTTCCAGGCCAGCCAGGGGTATTAAGACCTTGTCTTAAAAAAAAAAAAAAAAAAAAAGAAAAAAAGAAAAGAGAAAGAAGGCCTACATTATGCTTCTACTAAAAGTACATTTCATATCAGACATAATAAAAATGATAAAGAAGCAAACAAAATGAAAAAGTCAATTTTCAAATTAACCAAAGCATTTAAGTTGAAAGCATTTCTTTTAAATCACACACACAAGATATGTGCAATATAACATGTACACCTCAATTTCCAAGTACTTGAACATAGAGTTTTACATAGTTGACCTGCTTGTTAATTTTAACTTCTGCTTCTACCCTGAACCAAAGTATCAGTCCTGAAAATGGTACAGTTCAACTTACTCCCTTATCACCTTTTAGATTAAGTACTCACTTTTGAGACTACACACTTTACTGAATTTTTATCAAATACTTACACAGTTCTATGTACCAGAATCATTGCTATGTACTGAGCAGATAAGAAAGTGGCAACACACACCTCGGAATGGCCCTTAAGCAGCTTCATGAAGAGGGGAGATTGACAGGTGTATATAACAATAAAACAGAGATAAATGCCAATAAATGTATATATATGGTACCCGAACCTACTGTTTCAGCTCTTGTTTTCTTTCTTCCCGACACTAACTCTCAGGAGCTTCGTTTGTCATCCTAAGAAATGAATAATTCTCGGTACTATCACTGGAATTAGAAGAGTACTGAGATACAGTACTGTACTATAATAAGGACGTGATACTTTGTTCAAAAGCAGAAAGCCTAATGTCAGGAGTGCCTGAGACTGAGACATAAAGCGTAACCTAAAATATCTGGTCATCACTGAAAATTTAGAACATTTCACTCCTGAGACACTTAAAGTGCAAAAGAAATTTAAACTTGGAAAGCCAGGCCCAAGAGTCCCAGCTTCAACAGTGTTTAAGATCTTGGAATACACAATCTAAGTCTTAACCCATTGTTACAAGGTGGTGAGGGATGAATGTATGCAAAAACTCAGTCCACATGGCAGATACTCCACAAAAGACAACTTTCTCATCTGACAGGATGAGTTTAAATGCAAATACTGGTTTAGTATAAACTAGCTACACTAGAAATTCAAAACAAGTTGTACTTATATAACATCAATTATATATAGCCAATTAAAAAGGTAAGTGCTGTCGATTATGCTCATTGTTAATAAAAGGCTGACTGGCTGACAGCTGGGCAGGACGAGATTGAGCAAGAGAGCCAGACTAGGAGAATTCTGGGAAGAGGAAGGGTGGAGTCAGAGTTGCTGGCAAAATGCAGAGGAGCAGGATGAGAATGCTGTACTGAGAAATGGTACCAAGCCACATGGCTAAACATAGATAAGAATTATGGGTTAATTTAAATGTAAGAGTTAGCTGAGCTATCAACCAAGCATTTCTCAATAATATTAAGCCTCAGTGTGTTTATTTGAGAGTAGTGGGACAGGAAAACTGTTTACAGATAATTTCCCCCAAAACTAATCATATGCTGACTTAGCAGATCTCTTAAAAACAAAGGAGTAATGTCAAGCTATGTCTAATACTATTCAGGTAGTGTCTAGAAATAGAATCAAATTTTAGGTTTTACTGTGGAACAATGACAGAACAAATACATCTGGAAGTAGAATACCAGGCAGGGTTGAGCCAGGGCTCAGAAAGGTCTCTAGAAACCAGACCACAGAAATAAATGAATTTAAATTGGGAAGAGAGGACACCTGAAGAGTAAGGATGTGACATTACCATCAAACATTCACAAGTTCATCCTATGAATTAGTATTTTCATTGTTAGGATATGAAGAACAATGAGAGTTTAGTTAAGCTCCTCAACAGTCAGTGTTGAAACCTTTACGTAAAGGGCTATTTCTGCACTATTTTCATATCAATGTCAGAACACTCCTCCACTGTCATCCCTATCTCTGACAGTGGGCATACTGCCAGAGACTAAGTTAAGGAGAATAAAAACTGGATGGAGAAAACATTACTCAGCATTTAAAAACAAAAACAAAAACAGCTTAAAACACTCTAGAAATTCTGATGACATGAAGAAGCCTGCACAATTTAGTCACGGGTTAGCTATACACTATGTTTGGCCAAGTTACCTCACCTGTGTGGACTTAACTTTGTGGAGGTTTAAGTGAGAACTCCCCTGATAGGCTCCAATGTTTGAATGCTTAGTCCTCTGTCACTGACGATGTCTAGGCAGATTTAGAAGATGTGGCCTTGCTGTAGGAAGTATGCCGCTAGGAATAGGCCTTAAGGCTTCAAAGCCATGTGTCGTTCCTAGCTTGCTCTTTGTTTTGTGTTTGTGGTTCAAGTTGTAAGCCCTTCAGCTTCTGCTCCAGCCACACTGCCCGCCACTGTTGCCACCATTCCACCATCATGGACTCTAATCCTCTGGACCTGTAAGCCCAAATAAACTCTTCTATTGATTGCCTTGGCCATGATGTTTTATCACAGCAATAGAAAGGTTACTAATACAGTGTACTGTTATCCATTAAAAACAACAACAACAAAGCATATACTGAAGGATTTCTTTTCTCACTAATATTTTTAACACTTTCCTCTTGAAACAAAAAGCCAATCATATTAGCTACTTTGCTGTTGCTGTGATAAAATGTCATGACCAAGGCAACCAATAGAAGAGTGGGTTTCCTTTGGGCTTACAGTTTCAGAAGGATAAGAGTTCATAACCATCACAGTGGGGAAGGCAGCAAGCAGGCAGAGCAGCAGAACAGCTGAGAGTTCACATCTTAAACCATAAGCACCAAGTACTGCAGAGGAACTGAACTGGCAACAGTACATGGCTCTTCAAACATCTCATTTAAACTACAACACCATAATAAATATGATGATCCTCAAAAACTCTATGCTAAGGAGGAAAGCCCACCTATAAAGCCAAGTGCGCTTTAAATCCAAAGTAATATTACACTCTACATTCACCAAAGTGCCGGATGGAGTGAACAAAACAGGTGCTGTAAGAGAGGAGTTTCCTTTTACCTATGGCATATTATTTTGTTTCTTACCACGACTTTTGTAGCTTGGGCTGGTTTCCATTGTACAAGTGTGACCCCACCACATAGCATAAAAACTGAAATCCACTGCAGTTTGCTGAGTTTTCGATTTAACATGAAAACGGTACAGAAAGCAGTACAGGGAATCTTCAGTTGATAGGTCACCTAGAAACAAGTAAGAAATTCATCTAATGTTAGTCTTTTACAGAAATATCTCCTATCACTAAGAGAATTAAGAAAATACTTGTGCCGGGCGGGGGTGCCGCACGTCTTTAATCCCAGCACTCAGGAGGCAGAGCCAGGTGGATCTCTGTGAGTTCAAGGCCAGCCTGGGCTACCAAGTGAGTTCCAGGAAAAGGCGCAAAGCTACACAGAGAAACCCTGTCTTGAAAAAAAAAAAAAAAAAAAAAAGAAGAAGAAAGAAAATACTTGTGAATGTAGTAAAGAGTTAATAAAACAAATCTCCATTAAAAAACAACTCAACAACATCAAATCCCAGTTTTCTTTTCTTTTGAGGCAAGGTCTCAGTATATAGCCATGGCTGACCTCACACTCAGAGATCTAGAGTGCTAGGATTAAAGGTATGCACCACCATGTCCCACAGAACTTTTTTTTTTTCCAGTTCAGAGCACTTATATCATTAACTCCGCTTACCTGGTATACTGCTGCATCCAGATGACTAAGAGCTAGGAAAGCCATGTTGTTCTGGACAGCATACACCAATGATGGCACACTTAACTTCACCAGTTCCTTGGGGCTCCCCAAGATGTTTTCACTTAAAGATGTCTTAAATCTACCCAAGCTTCCAGTTTCTCTTTGAAAACAAAAAGAGGGATGAAAGAGTGGTGAGGTAGAAAATTAAACACCCTTTCCCCACCCAATGCTAGGTACTGAAGCCAGCGTCTTGTGCATGCTAAGCACATGATCCATCACTGAGATACATCCTAACCTTTTGTTTTTGAGACAGGGTCTTATTCTGTGGCTGACCTTGAACTTAGGGTCCTCCTGTCTTCAACTCCCAAATGCTGGGATTACAGGCATACCCTACCATGTCTGTAGCAGTCTTTTAATGAGACGCCACACATATTGCTTAAGTTCCTGATGTAATTTAGAGTGTACTCTAAAGAATTTTGCCCAACTAACTTTAGACTTATTAATAGAAATAGACCTATAGTTCATTCCCATTTTTAGAAACTTAAATTTCTACTTAGAAAAAAGTAACAATAAAGTGGAATTATCACCAAAATCCTGTGGTCAAAGTTCCAAGAGTTTTTGAGTACATTAAGTAAAAGATATCAGGAGATAGAATTAGTCCTCTGCCACTTCAACTCTATTGTATCAAGTATACTTCAATATCTTTGGAACTGATCAGGCTGCATAGCCATATTTTTAAAGTCTTTCAAATTATACATTGAAATGCAAATAAGAGAAGGCTATAGTGGTTATACAACTTGGATTTGAAAGCAAGTGATTCTTATTATTTATAAATTTACTCAGTGCTGATGAAATAGAATAGGTAATAAATCTAATATAAACATACTCTCAAAATATGTCAAATGTGTATAACTCTATAGGAAATCTGAAGAACTAATTAATCTCAATAAAAATAAACTATATCTGTAATATACAAAAAAAGCCTGTAGGTTATATATGGTCTTAAGACCACAACCACTACCACCACCACTACCACCACCCCAAAGACTGGTTACTCTGGCTTATACTTCTCCTATAGAAAGTCACCTCATTTGCTTCCTAAATATAAAAATAAAACAATATAATAAGCATCAATATTCCTCAAAACATTCTTTATCAAAATTGTCCTAGCTGTAATTGAGAGCACTCTTAAAGGACCATACTCATATTTATGATAATCACAATGAGCCTGTGTTTTTTATTAGCATTAGAATTAACACTTGCAAATATTTTCATATTTAAATGCTGCAGGAACAATTACATAAGTTCTGGGGAAGGCGACAAAATTTTGCCCCATTGTATCAAATTGATTATTCCTATGTATTCATTGTAGAACATTCTACCCCTCAAGAAAATGTTCTACTTAAGACAGGAAATTTTGTCTAGACCATAGAAATGCAGTTACAGATCTATTACCAAGTTCAACAGTCTCCACACTACAATGTTATATTCATATGCTGAAAAGTTCTGTGTACTGTCTGGGTTGGGAGCTACAAACACTAAGAGGGAAAAAGTAGCCAAAATACACACAGATATAATTTTCCAAGCTATCTGGACACTGAACTTGAAACAAATTTCTTTTGTGAGGGAATGGGATAACCCTGGGCCTTCTTTACACATTCTAGGCAAGCGCTCTACCATTGATCTACATCCCCAAGTCCTTAGAGGCTTCCTAATACATATCTAAGATGTATTATATACTTGACTAACATCTTAACCAGAATATAAAGAACAATATTTCAATTATTTTCTTCTCCATTAAAAATTAAAATAACTGCCGGGCGGTGGTGGCGCACGCCTTTAATCCCAGCACTCGGGAGGCAGAGCCAGGCGGATCTCTGTGAGTTCGAGGCCAGCCTGGGCTACCAAGTGAGTCCCAGGAAAGGCGCAAAGCTACACAGAGAAACCCTGTCTCGAAAAACCAAAAAAAAAAAAAAAAAATTAAAATAACTACCAAGAGGTCAAATTCAAGTGTGATGGTTAGCTTTAATTGTCAATTTGACACAATCTAGAATCACTTTTGAAGGGGTCTCAATGAGTTTTTTTGTGGGCTTGTCTGTGGAGAATTGCCTTGATTTCAGTGTTAGTTAAGCTGGGAAGGCCTACCTACCATAGGTATCACCGTTCCCTCAGAAAGGGACTGTCACCTGTGTTAAGAGTAAAGAAAATGAGCTGAGCACTAGCATGCATGAGTATTCCCTGTTCTCTTCTGAGTGTAGACACAATGTGATCAGCTGCTTCTAGCGCTGCTACTGTGACTTCCTGCCAGGAGGATTGTAACCTGTAATTGTGAGCTTAATAAACCCCTTGTCTTTTGTATTTGTTATAGCATTTTTGTCCCAGCGACAGGAAAAGAAACTAAGACACCAAGGAACTCTGTGAAAAGATGACATATCAGAAACATAATAGTTTAGTAGTTTTTCATAATTACCACTCGTCAGTATCACATGACAGCACAGATATAATTCTTACATGTATAGCATCTACCACGTATAAACTATTACTTTTAGTGTTCTTTTAAAATGCTGACTTGTACACTACCACATCTTCAGAATGGCTCCCTGGAAAAACTACTGAGCAATATTGTTGGTACACCACCATCAACCTCCCACTTTCTCCTAGATCTGTTTTGCTCCAATAGAAGGTTCTTGATGATGATCCTTCAGTGTACAGCATAACGGTTATTATCCTTTTCTAATCCCCATTTGCCATCAACTCTTAAGAGATAAGAGGCTAAGTCAATGCTATCAGTGACATTTTTTCAGATATCCACAGAACAGAATTGGTCAGCCTAAACTACTTCTAGGACACCCTTGACTACAGAGTGAAACCTTGCCTCAAAACCAAAAAGAAAAACAAGGAAATTCAGGATGAAACCAATTCTTTCTTTCTGAGCCAAAGTAGGCCTCATCTAACAAGAACGATCAAAAAGGGTAAAATCCTTGACTGAGTTGCCAAGGCACTGTGCAGATGGAACACAGAAGTTACTTGTGATCTTAAGAAATTTCAGCTTTGTTTACAAACTTCTTCTCTGCAAAGTTTAGTATACTGAAAATTAAGACATATTATATGCGGAAATACGCATTATGTGAGGTTTATGATTTTTATTTCCTCCCCTAAGTCTCTGAACATATCACAGCATGGGTACTAAGAGGCAGAGAAAATGTTCCCTAAAACAGGAGAAATAAATAAGGCTGGAAAGTCTACGACTTAAGTGTTTGCCAGATTTTACAGTATTGCATATAACACCATGAAACAGTAAAAGACTCCTCTGTGATCTTATAGATAAGTAGCTTAAATGTGTATGGTGTATTTGTTTTAACTATTGGAAGACATCCAAAGTCTAAGGATATTAACATTTACACATCCTGCTAGGGCCATGCCTTCTGTGGACTGTGGGGAAGAGCAAACAATAAAAAGCCATTCTCTTCTAAGGCAGTATGTACATTTCTTCACCTCCTTTTCTTTACCAATGGCAGATTTAAATTGCACCATCAGTGTTAATGGTTTTCAGAAGGATTAGTAGTGTATATAGCTAATAAGTGACTTTCCTACGAAACTACTAAATCAGTTTCATGAGCAAACAAAAATATCTTTAGAAGATGTGCTTTATATTTTGGAGTATAGTTAAATATTGGGAACTCCAATTATCAAAACAAATTGCCTTATCAATATAGAGAGCTTTTGTACTATCACTACTGATCTGTCCCTCTTCCCCAAAACACAATTTACTGATTTACTTTTTAATTTTAAAGTGATCAAAGGTAAAGTGACTTCAGTGGTAAAGTACTCAGCTAGCATGTGTAAAACTCTGGGTTCAATCCTAGCACCTCAAAGAATTACAACAGAAACAAAAAAGTAATTTGATAAAATTACATAGGCACACAACAGTCTATGTACAAAGATAATCACTGTGTCTTATTATGTAGGAGAAAAATGGAAACAAACCAAATGTCTATGAATAATACTGGCATATATCATACATCCAAACAGTGGGCTACAATGAACTTTGGAGAGAGATTTCTATGTACTGACATGAAGAATTTATGTATGAAAAATGATAATAAAACATTTAAGTACAAAAACTTAAGTACAGCAGAGCACAACAGTGTATTCCATACTCAGTGCCCAGCAGTTTCTTGCATGTAACTAAAATTCACTAATTAGACCACATAAGCTTTGTCAAAGTACCCATCCATATATTCTTCCACACACCCCTTTTTCTTCTTGAAGTTCTAATTTCTGGTTAAAGTAAATATAATTTCATATTCCAAAGACTCTGAAAAACTATGAGTAAAATCAGTAAGAATGG